CTCCAAACTATCTTAGTTCTAAATTTGAAAGGCGAGAAGTCGCATATAACCTAAGGGACTCTGAAAATAAATTCAATGTTCCATTACCGCGCACAAACTATGACAAAAACAGCTTCAGCTATAGTGGCGCCATTCTCTGGAACAGTCTTCCTTGTAACGTAAGAGAAGCAGAGTCCCTTGGGCAATTTAAACGATTACTCAAAGAACTGTAAGGCACGGCATTCGTGGAAAGCAGCATTTTTATTTTAATATTTTTATTATATTAGTATTAGGCGTTTTTAAAGCTGACGAATTTTGTACCGTGGATAGATAAAGATTATCTATCTATCTATATCTATCTTTAAGGCAAGAGGCACACATACACCTACCTCACGCATGAAAGTGGGTCTCACTAGCATGGTAAAGCCGTTGNTTCAAAGAGCTACGATGGTTTACAGGTCTCTGCACGGGTTGGCTCCAAACTATCTTAGTTCTAAATTTGAAAGGCGAGAAGTCGCATATAACCTAAGGGACTCTGAAAATAAATTCAATGTTCCATTACCGCGCACAAACTATGACAAAAACAGCTTCAGCTATAGTGGCGCCATTCTCTGGAACAGTCTTCCTTGTAACGTAAGAGAAGCAGAGTCCCTTGGGCAATTTAAACGATTACTCAAAGAACTGTAAGGCACGGCATTCGTGGAAAGCAGCATTTTTATTTTAATATTTTTATTATATTAGTATTAGGCGTTTTTAAAGCTGACGAATTTTGTACCGTGGATAGATAAAGATTATCTATCTATCTATATCTATCTTTAAGGCAAGAGGCACACATACACCTACCTCACGCATGAAAGTGGGTCTCACTAGCATGGTAAAGCCGTTGGGTTAATGAACGGAGAAATCTCGTGTCCCAAAAACCCCTTACTGCCGAGGGCGAGGTGCAAAGCAGTCTATCAAGCGCCAGCTCCGCAAAACACATGTGGGAGCTGTTGGCTGGGAACCGTACGGCAGTTCTCCCACGACATGCGCAGGGAAGGCGGATCATGGGTTTGGTGTATGTGTGCCCCTTACTTCAAGTTTGTCTTTTGAAAAAAGTGAACTAAACTGTTCTACTGCATAAATAATTTGAAATCCCTACTTTACATAGCAAATTTTTCGAGATGTTGAAGTTCGTGTTTTTGTCCGAAGTTGCGCAGAAGTCATTCAGCGTAAAATTTAGTAGTCTAATAACCAAACTTAAAGTCCTCGAAAAATCATATTAAAGTCCGCAAATATTCAACGTGGAGACTTATAATTGATCTCTTTTTAAAGCTAAAAAAATTTATGGTACATCAATGATGAAGCCTTCCGAATTATTTTGCTTCAAAGACAAAAATTTTCGCGGCGTTATGATTTTTCTTAGCGTCATGCAATAAAAAAATCCCAGCGGGCAAATGCGCAGCCATACGCATATGCTGCAAATGCCAATGCAAATCAGGCGGGATGAACGCGGGACTCACAAGCACGCCCACGGCTCGTGGATTCTCCGTTCTGTATCACGTGTTCGCTCGAAAACAATGCATTCTCTGTTCTGCATTACGTCATAAGTGTTGCCTTGCATCACTCAAACATTACTCTATGTTACATCGATCCTTGATTTTTTCTGCCCCTGGAACAATCGCGCACGACGATATTAGGTTGCCGCCTCGCAGCCTTGCGAAGACGCGAGGCTGCTCGTTGGCAACTTGAGGGTGGGTCATGTAATTTGCAACCATGCTTTAGGGGTGGGTCAGTCATTTTTGCGCTGAAAGGAGGGAGTGGGCCAAGTGTTTTTTCTCAACCACATTTCCAAATGCTCCGGGCCAAACACACCCCAATCCCCACCCCCACCCCCCCCCCCTCCTCCCCCCCACAAACAAATCTACCCGCCTCACTTTTATCCACGTAACGACCAAAATCTCCACACACGGCCGCCACGCCGACCCCAACCTC